AGGGGCGATCCGGGCTCGGGGCCGCGGCCATGGCTGCCTCCGCCTGGCCCTGCCTGCTGCTGTGCGTCGGGGCCGCGGCCTTGAGCGTCGGTCCGGCCCCGCCGAGCATCCGCTTGCCACTGCGGGGAGGATCGGCCCCGCCGCCGGGCGCCAGGGCGAGGAGAGCGCCGGAGGAGGCGGAGAGGAGGAGCGCCTTCGTGGAGATGATCGATAACTTGCGGGGCAAGTCCGGGCAGGGCTACTATGTGGAGATGACGGTGGGCAGCCCCCCGCAGAAGGTGAGGGAGAGGCGCGGGGCTGCGGGGCCGCACTGCCACGACCCGTCCTGGTGGCTCTGGGGGTCCGCGGGGGCCGGCACGGTGTGTGGGCGCATGCCATGCATAGCAGCAGCGGGACGGTCAGCCCAGCGGGACCTTGAGGACCTCCTGAAATGCGTGGAGGTCTGGATTCGTTCGAGCACAGGGCCGGGATCCTGTGCTGCTGCCGCCCACGGTGTAGGTTGGCTCTGCCAAAACTCTGCTGTGCCCACGGTGGTTCTGAAATAGCAGCTGGCTTTGCTATGTGCACCTCCAGCGTGATCTGCCTCCTTCCTCGGGTGCCTGGTGGGTATTGCACGGGTGGTGCACTGGGTGGAGAAGCCAAAGGGGAGAAGAGAAGCACAGCAAGGGGGTTTCTACAACCGCCTTTGCTCACAATCGACAAAATGTTGCTTGTGGGAGTGGTCTGATAGTGACAGGACAAGGGAGAATGGCTTTAAGCTAAAAGAGGGGAGATGTGGGTGAGCTGTGAGGAAGCAATCCTTTGGTCAGGGCGGTGAGGCGCTGGCGCTGCTGCCCAGAGAGCTGTGGGTGCCCCATCCCTGCAGGCACTCCAGGCCAGGTGGGATGGGGCCCTGGGCAGCCTGAGCTGGTGGGGGGCAGCCCTGCCCAAGGCCGGGGGTGGCACTGGGTGGGCTTTGAGCTCCCCTCCAACCTGAGACATTCTATGGCTCTACAGATTGTGTGTCTTGAGGTGGCTTTGTGTCAATTTGTGTGTGTTTAGGATGTATTTTTCTGTTCAGGCAGGGTATGTTTATGGGGAAAGGAAAAAAAAAAACGAGATTATTTCTAAAATCTAGCTCTAAATGTGATTTCATCATCCAGCCCTGCTGGAGCTTTTGCTTGGAACATGCCATGTGTCACAGCTGCCAAATAATTTCAGTGAGAACCACCTGTTTCCAGGCACTCGTGGATTTCTGAAGCTGTCACCCTTTTGGGAAGCATCTTCCAGCCTTGGAGTGCTTCCAAGTGTGGATGCAGTGTGTGCATATGCATGCGTATGTGCATGTTTGTGTGCCGGAGCAAAATCCCTCCAGGCATTTTAATGGAATTAAAAGATTCACATGAAAGGCTAAGTTGATGCATACACAGGAAATTGGGGAGCGTGGCGGGTGTTTATCTGGGAGGATGCGTGCATCCTGTTCAGAGGTACACATGCAGCCCAACGTGGTCTCACTGCCAGCCCCTCGCTCTCCTTGGCTTTCACCTTCTTTGTTGTGCTGTGCTTGAATTTTGGCTGTGAGCTGGGCTGCACTGCGCAGTCACTACCAACAATTAATCGCTCTCGCATCCCCCCGGCTCTCAGCGCGCCTGTGCCACCAGCGCTGATTCACCCGGACAGCAGGAGGAGGTGGGAGCAGAGCAGCCTGAGCCAGCGCTCTGGGACAGATGGCAGAGGCTCGGTGCCACCGCTGTGTGCTTGTCCCCCCGCGACCCCACAAGCGTGCTGCCAGCCCCGCTCTCATGTGCAGTGTGCAGGCAGTGCTTCTGCCAAGCGCCCAGAGGGGCTGTCACATCCAGGGAGCTGCAGACGGGCTTCAGAGAGCATCCCTGCCATACATGTCCCAGCCTCACCGCTGCACGTGTCGTGTCCTGCCCTGAGACAAGGGCTGGGCTGCGCCTGGAGGAAGTGGGGCCAATGCACGTGGCAGCAAACTCGAGGCAGCAGAGCGTAGCCTGCAGGGCAGCAACCCCACCCCTGCCTCCCACTGTCACCGGTGCAAAACGCTGCACATGCCACACAAGGAAGAGCCCAGTAGGCAGTTCTGGGACTGTCTGAACGTCCAAGGGCTTGGTGCAGGTCCTGGGCAGCTGCAGGTTTCCTCAGCTTCCTAACATGGTTGTTCTTGACAACGTGGCCTCCAGAGCGAGCCTCTTCCTCGCTGCCTGTGTCCTCTCCCTGCAGAGTCAGCTCAGCAGGTATCTCCCCAGAGAAAGCAGTCCTCACCAGGTACCCTGGAGATCAGCAGCAAGGCTGTGTGCAGCAGATGGCTAATGAACACTCCAGCAGCCACCTTGGGAATGGCAGGGCTGTGGTTGCCCGGGGAAGGCTCTGAGTGCCCCTCTGAGCAAGGCGTGCAGCGGGGTGAGCGTGCTGCTCCACTTCCTACCTGGAGCTGAAAGTCTCCTTGGCAAAAAGCCTGCCTGTGTCACGGTGTGGAGGATGCAGGACAGCCACCAGGGTCGGTGCAGGAGAGCTGGGCACTGAGGTGGGCCAGGGCAGTGGTTGCCGAGTTTGTGCTGTGTGCAGGGGAGCCGTTGCCCGTAGTTCACTGAAGAAATTCTGCAGGTGGTAGCCAAGCACCAGTGCGATTAGCACAAGCGCATTAGCTTCCTTCCTCCCCGAATCCACAGCTTAAGGCCCACAGCCCTCGTGGATCACTTGTATGGGTGAGCAGCCCTATGGCTGCACAGCCCTCTGCAACCAGCGGTGTCCTGCCAGGCCCGGCTCCAGCAGGGCAGAGGGGGCCACAAGCAGAGCTTGGCCAGTGGCAGGACAGGGCTGGCCCACTCCTAGCCTGGCTGGTGGGTGCTTGCCAAGCTCTGCCTGCAAGCTGCTAATCCAGGGCAAGGCAGAAATGAATCGGGAGCGGAGCTCAGCTCATGGATGGCTGATTAGCGGACGCAGCAATCCACAGCGGCTTGTGTACCATCAGTCCTTCCCACAGCAAATTAGATTTCCTGGCAAGGGGGACCTGGAGACCTTGCCTTGCTGCTGCTCTCTCCCACACCGGTTGCAGGGGGCTGAGGTCATACCGTGCTGAGCAGGGCAGGAGAGCTCATGCTGTGTTTGCACAGTGCCAGATGATGTTTGCTTTTTGTGCAACAGCCTGATGTTGCTGACTCCTGCTCCACCGTCCCATCCTCTCTTGCACAACTGCCCTGAGCCATCCTTGTGCACAGCATCAGCAGGCCCCTGCAGCTGCTGGGCTACAGCCTCCCTGCCCTACCCCTGGCTGCCCCATTGCTGCTCCCACAGTCCCACAAGCATGGCTGGCACACAGCCCTAGCCAGCAGGGCAGAGCTAGGCTTGCTGCTGAGATGAGGACCCAGAGCTGTGGGTCACTGGAGCACACAGCACAGCAGCCACCATGCAGAAAACACAGGGAAAAAGAAAGCATCGCTTGCCTGCAATGCCACGCAGACTTGGGTGCACAGTGCAGCCTGGTTTTACTGCAGTCACAAACCTTCCTTGTCTCTTCCTTCTCCAGCTCAATATCCTGGTGGACACTGGGAGCAGTAATTTTGCTGTGGGAGCTGCACCTCACCCCTTTCTTCGGAGATACTACCAGCGGCAGCTGTGAGTTCTGTGGGGACAGGCGCTGGGGGAAAACAGCACAGCCACTGGTCCTTGTGCCTGTGGCTCACCTCCAGTGATGGTGTGATCTGTCTTGCACTGGGTCTGGCCACACATGGCCCTAAGTCCTGGGCTGGTACAGGTAATGCTGCTCAGCCTCAGGTAGATCTGGATGGCCCCTTCTTGTGCCTATAGAAGCAGGGGAGCCCTCAGCTGCCAGTCCACCATCCCACAACATTTAAGCAGCCCATATCTGTGCTGCTGGCTGTTTTGCATAGCATACAACAGCTACAGTTATCCCGTGTGCCCTATTACAGCCTCACCCCAGGCTGCGAGGCACTGTCCTTGTGCTTCCCTGACCCTCTGTGGACTCTCCAACTCTCTGCACAGGCAGAGAAATGTAGTGCCCTCACACAGCCATGCTGACCCACAGGCTGGACAGGGCTGTGCACTTGTAATGCTTGGTTATTATGCATGTGCTCTGTCACTGTCTCCTCTGCAGTGGTTTTACTCTCTTTAATGCCATTCCAGGTCCAGCACCTACCGTGACCTGCGGAAGGGTGTGTATGTGCCCTACACCCAGGGCAAGTGGGAAGGGGAGCTGGGCACTGACCTTGTCACTATCCCCCACGGCCCCAACGTCACTGTCAGAGCCAACATTGCTGCCATCACGGAGTCAGACAAATTCTTCATCAATGGCTCCAACTGGGAAGGGATCCTGGGGCTGGCCTATGCAGAGATTGCCCGGGTGAGTCCTGATTGTAGCCGGGGGCCCACATCTGCCTGTACTGCATCCAGCTTCTCAGCAAACATAGGCATCGTGTCCCTGCACAACACACCTTGCTCAAGGGGTAGGGGTTACATTTCCTCTCTCCATAGCTCCACAGAGTCCCAGTGGGCCCAAACAGGCTGTGCATTTGCACTGCTGATCTTGAGCCCTGCCTCAACAGTGTACAGAGCCAGGATTCTTGTGGCACAGAGGGGACATCTGGGTGTCCTCCACTGACACGTCCCTGTCCTGCCTCTGCTTTTCTCCAGCCTGATGACAGCTTGGAGCCCTTTTTTGATTCCCTGGTGAAGCAGACCCAGGTGCCCAACATCTTCTCCCTCCAGCTTTGTGGGGCAGGCTTCTCATCCAATGAAACGGAGACCTTGGCATCAGTGGGAGGCAGCATGGTGAGTGCTCTGGAGAAGGAGCTGGTGTGGCAGCAGGAAGCTGGGGATTCTCCACGTGGTTTGGGTGTTCCCATGGGCAGAGATGGCCATACAAAATGTGCCATGGCTGGAGATGCGTTATCAGACACCTTTCTGTTCCCATTGCAGATCATTGGTGGCATCGACCGCTCGCTGTACGTGGGTGACATCTGGTACACACCCATCCGCAAGGAGTGGTACTACGAGGTCATCATTGTCAGGCTGGAGGTCAATGGGCAGGACCTGAACATGGACTGCAAAGAGGTGACAGGGGCCCCAGGGGGAGCTGCCCTGCAAGGGGTTTGCTTTGTTGCTGAAAGCATCTGTCCTTTGGTTATGGATAAAATCACTGAGTGCAGCGAATGCTGCAGGCCCTGGTGCCTGGGGATTCAGTGCCTGGTTGGTGATGGAGGCTGAGGGCACCAGGCAGCTTGGCCAAGGGTGAAGCTGAGATGAGCGTGAGCTTTGAGTCCATCACGATAGAAAGAAGGGGATGGGCTCAGCCTCAGTAGCTGTGCAGGGGGAGCCAGAGCAGTCAGGTGCTGGCATGGAGGGGAGCAGGGCTGGGATACCCCTGGGTCATTCTTCCTTTTGCTGTCTGCAGTACAACTATGACAAGAGTATCGTGGACAGCGGCACCACCAACCTCAGGCTGCCGAAGAAGGTGTTTGAGGCTGCAGTGAAATCCATCAAAACAGCTTCTTCGGTCAGTGTGGCCCTTGAAACTCATCCATCCATCCCCCCCTTCTGTGGGCACATCCCCAGTGCCAGTGGAGGGCTGTGGGCAGGGTGACTGCCTGTCACCAGCCTGAGCATCTCTGCTCCCTGCCCACACAGACCCCTCACCTCTCCTTTCCCTCTGGCAGACGGAGAAGTTCCCAGATGGCTTCTGGCTGGGGGAGCAGCTGGTTTGCTGGCAGGTGGGCACCACCCCCTGGCACATCTTCCCCGTTCTGTCCCTCTACCTGATGGGGGAGGCCACCAACCAGTCCTTCCGGATCACCATCCTTCCCCAGGTGAGCGTTGGCCGGGCCAGACCCTGCCCAGCACCGAGCAGGAGGCAGTCTGGGGCAGAGCTGACAGCTCTTCTCTCCCTGCAGCAATACCTGCGCCCAGTGGAGGATGTGGCCACCTCTCAGGATGACTGTTACAAGTTCGCCATCTCTCAGTCCTCCACAGGCACTGTCATGGGCGCTGTCATCATGGAAGGTTTCTACGTGGTCTTTGACCGTGCCCGCAAGCGCATTGGCTTTGCTGTCAGTGCCTGCCACGGTAAGGAAGAGAAGCAAGGCAAGACGGAGAGAAGGCAGGGGGCTACGGGGAAGAGGTGTGGATGTGCAGTGGTATCTCAGTGACCAGATGTTTGCCTTTTACCTGCCCACAGTGCACGACGAGTTTCGGACAGCCGCAGTGGAGGGGCCCTACCTGCACTCCAACATGGAGGACTGCGGCTACAACATCCCACAGACGGATGAGTCCACCTTGATGACCATTGCTTATGTCATGGCAGCCATCTGCGCCCTGTTCATGCTGCCTCTCTGCCTCATGGTGTTCCAGTGGCGCTGCTTCCGCTGCCTGCGACGGGACCACGATGACTTTGCTGATGACATATCTTTGCTGAAGTGACACCGGAGCGTGGGGGCAGCCCCGGGACAGCAGGTGAGGCAGCAGGGCGAGGAGAGGTCCTTTCGTTGGAGGCTAGAGCATGGAGACTGGACATCAGCGTAGGGTGCTCACACAGTCAGCCCAGGCCCTCCTGGCTGCAGGGACCCAGTGCCCTTTGAGTTAATGGGCCAGGAGCAACCCAGTACCAGGAGCAGAATGCCAGCACTGAGGCTCGAGTCCCGGGCTTGAGTCCCTGGGTCACCATCACCCAGAGCAGCATTTGCATAGCAGGACAGGAGAGGCAACACCAGCACTGGGGAGCAGGTGGAGATCAGGTCCCAGCAGCAGGTTAGGATCCCCCTCTGTGCTCCAAAGGCGTTGCCCTGGTTCTGACACCAGCCACCCCTTGCTGACCTACAGCAAAACTTCAGTGTGTACTTGCAGCCTGTCAGGCAGCAGCATGTGCAAGGGCAGCTTGGGGAGCCTCAGGCCTCAGCTGCTTTTGTCTAGGATCCTCAGATGTAGCTTGGCTGCTATTGGGTGACAGCACAGCAACCCTGTTTCACCTGTAGCCTCTGGAAGGACTGGGTGCAAGTGTCTGCTCTGGCACAAAAATGAGCTGAGCTTTCCCTAGCTGTCCTGCCAAGACTTTCCAAATTGATGAGCCATCACCCCATTTCTGTCCCCCTCCCTCCCCCAGTGCTGCATCTGCCCTTCTCAGCCTGCACTGTAGGGAAGCTGCTGGCATAGGCTCTCCGTGTAGTGAACTGTGCGTGTGTGCATGTGCGCTGTAGCTGTGCCTGCCCCACGCAGCTCCCCTCCCCATGACACCTGTGAGCTGGACTCCAGAGAGTGCATCTCCAGAGCCATTGCCCCCAGGCCTGGGCCTGTAGAAAACACCACACAGTGCCAGCCTGAAGCTGCCTTGGAGTGAGAGAAGGCAGAAGTTGGGGGACAGCTGCTCCCACCCTCCTGCTCCCCTGTACAGTGCACACTCTAACATGTGCTGTGGCATTTCCCCTGTCCTCCCGACCTGCCCTTCCATTGCTGCCAGCCCCAGACCTCTCTGCGCCCACCCTGCCTCGCTGCCTCCCAGGACAGGCAGCCATCCTCTCCTGACTCCATTTTTTGACCACCACGTCCCCTTGGGGGACAGGGAACTGCCTCACCTGCGTCCCAGATCCACAGTGTTTGCTGCGTAGAAGCTGCTGGCTGCCGCCCTCCAGCCCTGGGGACAACAGCCTCTGCTCCAGGACACGGGGTTCTCTTCCCTGCGCTTCACGGCCCCTCGGACTGAACGGGAACAAAGGAAGGAGCTCGGAACGAGCAGAAACCGCGTGCCAGGAGAGAGCTTACCCGTTCCCCCGCCTGTCGCCTGTTTGAAAGCCATAGGGGAGCCAGCGCCGGCTCGGCGGCCCCACCTGCAGCTGCTGCCTCGCCTCAGCAGCCAGCGCACCCGGCTGCAGACACGCTCGGACCTGGGCTCCTGCCCCCAAGGCAAGAGACCCCTAGCAGCACTGGGGAAAGGAGGTGTCTGTGGGAACTGCAGCATTTCTTGTTTTTCTAAACACATGGTTGTATTTATTGTTTTGTTGGGTTTTTTTTTTACAATGCAACTCACTGTTAGTACAGCTGCGCAGAATCAGTGTGTATATAGCAGGTCCCTGCACACAGGTGTACAAATAATGGTCTGCTCCTCACCTGTACAATATATACATATAGATATATTTTTAATTCTAGCTCCAAAAGCCACTGTTCCAAACCCAATAGTAGGGGGTTTTATCCTGTTTCGTTGTGTTGTTTTTTTAAATATTTTTAGCCCTCTGCTCAGTCCTGGGGCCTTGGCCAGCACCCGAGCCCAGGGCTTGCTCAGCAGCGGCATGCCTGGATGGAAGCACTTTATGGATCGTGGGGTGACCTGGAGTTGGTGGCAGAGGAGGCATTGCGTGTCAGGGACCCGGTGACAATGATGGAGGGATGCAGGCAGAGGGCACAGCTGGATCACACAGCTGTGGTTCACAGACCAAAAGGACACGGGTCAGAGGAGGCGGTTTTGCCCTCGCTTTGTTCATACAGCAAAGGGAAGATGCCATGGTGTGCAAGAGCAACCTTTCCCTTTTGTACTCCCCTGCATCACAGCTCACCCTGCCGCAGGAGGAGGGTGCCACTGTGGTCACCTCCCATCCCCAGAGCACGTGCTCTTGAGCTTGCTGACAATTGATAATGCTCTGTTTCCTTAATTCTCTGCCTCAGACTTGGATGTGAAAGTGCTTTTTTCTGAATACTGAGCTTCACTAATGAAAAAGGCAGCGTTCCTCCACAGGTGAAAATCAGAGCTACCTGCAGTGCTAGGGCCTGGGCAGAGCAAAGGCACTGGTTCAGGTGGATACTGGCTGGAGCACTACAAGCCTCCAACGACCACTAACATAAAGCTCATCAACAAAATCCTGCAGTTAAAGATTGCTTTGAGAAAGATGTGAGGGAGGGAGAGAGGCAGGAGGAAACACAGGGTAGGAGATCAGGAGAGAGGCAAGCAATCACAGCACCAGGCAATGCCCTGCCAGCCCATCACACGCACCCCTGCACCATCCCACTTACCTTCTGTATTGGGAAACAGCATCCAGCTCCCGTGCTGTGCTCCAAAACTCATCCAGCAATTCAATCCAGTGCAAGGTTATGCAATTGCAGAGTGCACACAGACCTCCACACCCTCGTGCCTGCCCAGGACCCTCCCCAGGATCCCAGAGACTCTGTTGTGGACCACTGCCTTAAAACATGCTGACAAGCGTGTGTGTGTGCATGTAGAAAGACTCGGACTGTGGCCAAATTCAGGCACGCCGTACCCTGGCAGCACTTGCACTGACCAACCCCAAAGCAAAGGTGCTTCTAGCAGTGCTGAATTTGTGCCACAGGCTGCAAAAAAAGAAAAAAAAAAAAAAAAAAAAGAAAAAAAGAAAAAACCTACAGAATAAGTACAAGATTTTAAGTGGTGCTGAGCACCTTGTAATCTCATTGAAATCCACGGAGAAAGGGTTGGTGCATCAGCCCGGGCTTTAGGAGAAAGTACAGGAGAGGGGATCCGAGGAACCGCAACTGGTTGGCTATCCTGAGCTGCAGTGCAGCCAAATTTGTTTGCTCCCCAGTGCTCCCTCACCAGGACCCAAAACTACAGCAGGAAACACCAGGAGAAAGCGTGTGCAGAACTCTGCCCAGAGGGAGGAGGGCTGGGGATGGCTAGGGCAGGCTGTCGCTATAGACTCCGGTACTCTGTAACCTATTGTCTGTGTAAGAACAATGAATGTTAACACAGTAAATTATTACATTAAAGAAAAAAAAGAACCAAAAGCTTCTCATCTGCAATCTGTTCATTGCTAGGAGGGGAACTGCTCAGAGCACGCACAAGGAGCAGCAGGCGGATGTGGCACAGCACGTGTGACATCCCAGTGAGGGGACGCGAGTCCCTGCAGGCAGGTTGTGCTTTCACACAGCGAGGTGAAAAAGGAGCAGCACCAAATCACTGCATAATATACACACTTTATTTATGAATTTGTATGTATACAGACTTTCTATACACACATTACCTATATAATAAAAATGTACATGTGTATACATGGTCGTATAAATATAGAACTGTAGAAATCTTAGAACTGATCCTGTCTATTCACAGCAACTCCTCCCGTGGGACCACTTTGTTCGAGTAGCCGTCATTTGAGACTTGGACAAAAGGGGCAAGTGTCATTTGTGTTGGTTTGTGCCCAGAATTTGATGCACTGGAAGAAAGAGAATTAGTCAAGAGCCACTGGCACAACTCAAAGGTGCTGTGAACGTGGCGTTACTTCTCCAGAAGCGGTGGCAAAGGGCATCCATTTTATGGGATGGCTTGTTTGCTCCTTAGGAACAGCTCGGTCAAAAGGTCACTGCGACTGGGGAGCCCTTTTCAACCGAGCTCCTGCGCACAGGCCTGCAGTGCACCAGCAGTGAGGTGAGTGCAAGCTTTCTCCATCGCCCTGTGCTCTATAACCTCCCAGACTCTCCTCCTCCAGGAATGCAAAAGGCCAAGATTTAACCCTCCTAAAAATGAGCACAAGCTCCAAGGCTGAATAAGGATAGCCTTGTTCTTAAAGCCACCAGCAAATGGTGGCCAGGGTGGCCCAGCAAAGAGCACGAAGTGATAGGACACAGAGAAGTCGATGGATTGATCATACCTTTCTCCTGGCAAAGTCTCCATACAACAGGAACTCACTACATACACCCAGGGACCCAGGAGAGGAATCTGCACTGGGAATCATAATTAAGGAACACAGAAGATGTACGTAGCAAGGAAGGACTTACCTCCTTGTGCAGCACATGCGAGCAGGCCATGGGATGAAGGTCGCTGGGCTGTACAAGCTTCTGGCACATGAGACATAGCTTACAGGCAGCTGGGGTCTGGGTCGAACAGCAAGAGAACACAAAGCAGACAGTTGAACTGCACAGATAGACCCACACATATTCAGTGTTGCAGCTACTGGTCTTGCAAGGGGCCCCAGTTTGCCCAGCTCTTCCCTCTGCACACCAATCCCGCAGCATTTTCTCTCCTCCTTTGATGCAGAGCACAGAACCCACGCTTCCAACCCCTCCCTTCTAACCCACCAGCCTGAGCAGCTGTGCGAGGAGAAAGAGAGCTCCCTGCTCCACCAGCTCATCCCTTTGGCCACTTCTCAGAAGGGCTCCCTCTCCAGCTGGCTTTCCCTGGAGATGGTGAAGTGCACTTGGAAAAACCACAAAATCTTACATGTGATGCCGTTCCTGGGTAAGCTACCTGGGCTGGGGGCAGGAACATCGGCGTGCTGATCTGAGGCAGCGGAGCAGAAAACATGGGCGCCCTGATTCGACCGAGAGGCTGTGGGAAAGCAAACAAGACATATCAGAAATGTGCAGAAGTGAAGGACAGCCGTGCTGCTGAGTTACCTTTGGGAAAAATTGCTCCCCTAGCATGTACAACCCAAGCTTGAGCTCTGTGTGGTCCCACCAGTGGGCCCCCATTCAGCTCGGTCTGCAGGGAGCCAGGGAACAGGAGCTGCTCGCTTCTCTCTGCCACCCAGGCTCCCTTTCCCTGCAGCCCCCCACCAGGAGCCGGCACGACCCCCAGCACCACCCCAACAGTCCTACCTGAGCCCCAGCTGCTGCCCGCTCCTGCTGCTCCGCGAGCTTGGCTGCCACCAGCTGGTTCAGCTCCTCCATAGTCAGACCCGCCATCGTCCTCCGAGCAGTCTTGATCTGCTGCAGGATGTTGGTGAGCTGGGCCCTGCAGAACAGCAGCCTGCTCAGAGCTCCCACCACCACCAGTGAGTCAAGCGTCTCCCCAGAGGGAAGCCCTCCATCAAAAGACCCACAACAGTGAGACAGCCCCCCAGCACCAGGGGAAGGCTGTATCACAGCACAGGAACATGTGCTCTCAATCATCCAAATGAGATGCATCGCATGCTGAGCTTCTGTCCCTGAAACAGCAGGAAGTGAGGGAAATCCCAGCTGGAGCAAGAGACAGTGCCCACCTGGTGCAGCACCTCAGCAGAGGAAGGCAGAGCTCTTGGCTGCTTTCAGGTCTCAGTGCTCTTTTAACTAAAGCTCCAAATCTTTCTTACTGACAGAGAGCAGCCACCCCTTGTCTTTAAGCTTCCCTTATTTCTCCAGACAAGCTTCACTTCCCCTTATCCCAGCTCGCGCCTCACCAACACGTTTTCATTCCCAGGGAAGAACACCATGAGACACTTACTTGTTGCACTGGGGAAATCGAGTCAACAACTTCTCCAGCAGCTTCTCCAGCTTATCTGCTGGCTGTGACCTGTGAAACTCCGGAGTGACCTTAACTCCTCCCAGACCCGGTGGAGGAGGGATGGAGGCTGCAGGAGTCATGTGAGGACTGTGTGTGCCAATAAGCGATGCCACGACGGGGCTGTTTCTTCCTTGGGATGCAGGCAGCGGTGGGGAAGGCTGGTTGGGTCTGGAGATTGCAGGGTTCAGGAGAGGAAAGGAGAGCGCCCGAGGATCAGCGCTTGGCATGACCATGGGAACAGGAACCGGTCCTATGGGAAATGGGAGCCTGGGAGTAAGGGATGGATTGGGCTGGAATGCCGTCAGCATGAAATCTGTCTGAGAAAGAAAAACAGGGGGGGAAGAAAAGGCTGGTTAGAGTAAGTCCATCTCAAAGCACAGCTGAGCATCTTCCTCCCCAGCCAGGCAGGAGCTGAGCTGAGCCACAGCCACTGGCCATTACGCTTCTCGTGGCAAGTGAGGGCCATGCAGCCCATTCTCACCAGGGGCAGCAGGTGAGCCCAGGCAGACAGCTGCCTCAAAGGACAAGCAGAGAGCTCCAAAAAGCATAGTCCTACAGAGTCTCCTTTCACAGACTTAGCACAGACACCAGCAGTCACAAGCCAGCAAACAGGCTATTCCCAGAGCCTCACAGCAATCAAAGCTTGTATTTGTTGGACTGGAGAGGCACTCACTTCTGAGGGTGGAGGTGGCAGTGTTGGGGTTGGGATCTGTGGGAGGCTGCTCAGCTTCGTTCCATTTCTCACCATCTGAATGTGGTCATTGAACTGATCCTAGAAGAGAGAAAAGAAAACAGGCATGTTTATCAAAGCCTCTGGCTAAGGAATTTTGGGGCTCCAAATGCCTAGAACAGGCAAATTCCCCTGGCACTGTTGCCTCAACAAAGCACTCAGCCCCAGAATGGTTGCAGGCCCCAAAGCAGACACGGCTTGGTTTTGCAGGACTGAAGAGAATGAGAAAGGACCTGGAAGGAGAAAGAGAGTAACTGCCTCTGTTATTAACCCAACACACTGCTTTCGTATCCACATGGCTTATCCACATTCATGAGCCTGGACGCAGGCAGAGCTCTGCAGCTGCTCACAAATGCTGACTGACTGTGCTACGCCTTGGGACACCAACCTCTTTCCTGGTCTTACTCTTCTCCCAAAGAGAGCTGCAGATAAGCACGTGAAGAAGCACCGACGTGAACCACACACCCAAGCTGGGAGCTGCCTGCAGGAACTTACTCGGACACTTTCCTTCGTCATTCGTATCCTGTTCAGCCTCATCTCCCACTCCTGCTTTGGCCTCATGGTCTCCAGTGTTGGTGGTGCAGACCTGCAAGAACAATGTAACGTTCCCTCTTGCAAGCATGCTGTGTCACTGGCAGCAGAGCAGAAGCAGCTGGAAGCAACTAACTCCCCAAATCCCTCTGCTTTCCCCTAACAGGGGTCCCCTCTTCTGGCTGGGGAGGAAAAAAAGCTCAAACCCAGGGGAGGAGCCCTACAACACCGCATGGTGCTACCACAGTACAGACTGATCTGGTGCACACAGACAAACACTACAATCAGTACTGTGCCTACACAGCAGATGAGCAGTAACAGGAAATATTTAAGCACAGCCAAACAGCTCCATCCCGTGACATCACTGAATCACATTAGATGAACAAAGGAAACTGAACCACTCCAGTCAAACTGTCAGAGCAAGCAGAGGAAGAGGAGTTAGGCACACAGGTACATTCAAATTACCCTTTCAATTCTGAGGGACTTACTTGAGGTAGGTGAGGTGCAGCTCTGCTTCTTTTTCTGCTTCTTCTAGTTTCAACACCAGCAGCTCCTTTCGGCTCTCCAGGGACAGGATCTAGCACACAGGGCCCCACATGAAAGCAGTTTCTTATGCCCTCATTTCCTGCTGCAATACCATGACTGTGATCTCTTCACTAAGCACCACACTGCATGCACTGGGGCATCAATCCCAACTAATGTTTACTGCAATGACATCTGCTCCACCCTTTCCTTGCCCTCCTGCTCTTAATTTCACAGAATCTGTCATTAATGATCCAGAATCTCAAAAAGACACCTGCAAACCAGCTGAAGAGGAAGAAGTCACCTACTAACCTCTGCTTTCCAGGCCCGTTCTGTCTCCTCAAGGATGTTCCTGTTGATTTCATTGTGCTGGTTCTTCAGCTTATCTAGCTCCATCTCCCATAGCTGCCTGCAGACAGAAACAGAACGACTCTGCTCCAGCACTGGAATCACTTGAAAGAAGAGATCTGACAAACTCCCACAAAGCCAATTGATCCCTGCAACTCCTGACGGAGTGGAACTGTGGAGCATTGGCAGCTTCCAGACCGTGACATCAGTCACATTTCCCAAGGCTGTGTGAGTCAGAATCCCAGGAGTGAGCGCTGCAGAGCAGCAAACAAATACAGTGCAAACACAAGTGTACAGCTTAGCAAAGAGGGCAGGAAAGAACTCCCTCCCTTCAGCAAAATTCTGGCCAGCTACAGGGAATGGTGCACAGTTCAGGTTGCTTCCCAGAACCAACACACTCCAGTCCTGAAGGAGGAAGATGGCCCTTGCCACCTGTGACTGGGTTTGGAACTTCTCTGTGCAGCACTAAAATGCCTGAAAGGTGCCCAGGTTTGAAGTAGTTGGGCAGCTGTAGGAAACAGCACGAGGAAATAGATTTGCCTGATTTTTGGGAAGCTGAAATTCAGTCAGAAGTAGCAGCTACAAGCTGAGTCAATCTATTAGGCATAAATTCCAGTCTCGTGGGATCTTTATACCACAAGTATCAAGGAGCCTCCTTGAGAGCAGGATCAAAGAGGATTTAATCCAGAGGCTGTGAGCAAAACCTGCTGGAAGGGGAGATGAAACCTCTACAATACATAACTGGAGCACTGTGAGACCACCACCTCCAGCCTATCCCACAAGGCTCTCTGAGACAAAACGACCAGTACAAGAACGTTCAACAGCATTAATCAGGTAACAGATAAGAGCCTTACTTTTCATCAGACTGCTCTGCAATCAGAGAAGCAATCTTGTTTTCCTTTTCCTCCTGCTCCTTCAGCAACCTGCACGAACACAAAGAACAGATGGAGTCACCTCCTGCAAGGTGTCAGCACACAGCCACTGGTGTGCGCGTCTCACCTTCACACTGTGCATCAGCACAGCCGTGTGCTCAATGCCACAACTCTGGAGACCAAACTACACCTCCCATGTTTGAAAGCAACCACTGCCATCCTCAAGAGCAAAAATTTTGCTGTATCACAGCAGTGAGCACAGACTGTGGCTTTTATCCAGGATCCACCACAGGGAACTGCGCCTCTCTGACAACGTGAGCTTTGCCACAGTTCATGCAGGGGAAAGGAGCTGAGTGCTGGGAGCCATTACTAAAGCAGCTTTATGCAAAAATGTCACTGAGCCCTCAAATTAAGAAGTCAGATCTCTGAGACATCCCAGAACGGCTCCCTAAAAATGCCAATTCACCATTCAGAGGAACATGAAGCCCTTTGCCTGCTTCAGAACCCCTGTGAATTGAGCACGATTCTTTGCACAGAGCAAGCTGCCTACCTGAAAGCAAAGCATGACTGTGCAGCGTGTTCTGAACCATTAGGCACAGGCAGAGTATTTGAGCAGGAAATTTACAAGAAAATAGGAATTTTACAACAGGAAACACTGAAATTTACTACAGGAAACAAGGCACTGCCAATGACCTGCCCTGCCTCCTGCCGAAAGGCTCTGCATTCTGAAAGACAGAACACAGAGCACAGCGGAGCTGCCGAGCTCTGTCTGCACATACAGGTACAACCACCACATCCAGCTCAAAATTCCTTTGTGGGACCACGTTTGCATGCTCACAGAAACACGCTTCCAAAGGTTGAAAGCAATCCTCTTTTACTCAGTCTGTGTACAGCAGAGTTCAATTATGCCTTCCTTCCTAAAAAAAGGCTTGCTTGTTCATGCCAGTACCTTCTGCCTTTCTCGCAGAGTTTCTCAATTTCTGCTTTCAGATCCTGCTCTTTCTGCAGGAATTCCTTCTTCTCTTTCTCCATCTTCTTCTTTGTCTCTTCCCGTTTGATCGTAACGGCCTGAATTGCTTTCAGAATCTCCTATAGGAGCAGAAGCAAGTAAAGAGCAAAATCCTCAAGAAATGGCTTTTTTTTTTTTATAAATAAAGACGTCGTTTTCTTAACGAACTTGGAGAGGTTATAAGATTACAGACATCAAAATCTTTCTTTTTAGTTCATGAGTTTATCATAAAGCAACCCAGGAGATAGACAGAAGGTCAGAACTGCAGGTTCTCCTGTCTCCTTACAAGGACAAGTTCTAGCTGATGAGCCACCCATGATTCCTTCTGTGTTAACCTGAGCCCCACACAGCTAGCTGTCAATCACTCATTCAAGCCTGGGACCCATTGGCAACAACTAGAGACATCTAAATAAAGGCAGGGAGATAATTTCCACTTCACACCACTCTCCCCACCAGTTTCTATGTTGAAAAAAACTCTTGCATGTGTTAGAGAGATGCTGTAAGACCACCAGACACGCATGCAAGATGCTTCGCAGTTCTAAACCCTCAACACCCAGATCTGAGCAGGAATCAATCCTTAATGCTGTGAAACACACTTATAATACAAGGGGAGAAGTGCCACGCTGCGGGTCGCTGCCACTTCTTACGATGCTTTGCACCTCACTGTGCCCCTCAGCACAGGCCCAAATCAGCCCACCTCAACCACAGAACTGCTATGGGCAGATAACAGAAAGAAGACTTTGCTAATTACCTGGTGGTTCTTCATCTCTTCTTCCCTCCGCTGCTGGAGCTGTTTGAGCTGCACCTGCAGCTGGTTCTCCACTTGCCGCTGTTTGTCCAACACCTCCTGGTACCGTTCCTTTAACAAAGCCCTCTCAGACATCATTTTGTCCTGCAGCAGAGAGCAGAAATTCAAGGAGAACCTTTCCCCTCCATCACACCACAGAGAGCGTGGACGCAAACGGGAAAACTCAGCAGAACAGTACACAGAAGCCCAGCAGATGCCAAGGCTTAATCTGTGCAGAAGCACGGCTCAGTGACTCCCACCACTAAAGCTCACACTCTGGAGGTCAAAGAAAATGAATGCGCTGCCTGAAGCTGCAGCCAGAGCTGCATTTCCTCTTCTAAAGAGGACAGGTCAGGAAGCCAAAGCTGGTATTTAAAGGGGGAAAAAAAACATCCTGTGGGAAGAGCAGGGGAGGCAGCACCAGGATGCCGAGTGCCAGGAACAACCCTGCCTCCAGCTACCTCCTATATAGTGCTACAATTTCACCATAGGACATCCTGAGAGCATCTTCAAATGGCCTGGGATGCCTTGATAGGCAAATGAGTGAAAATACAGTGAGTGGTGGAGGGAAATGTTTTTGATGGTTTCCTTTTTCTTTTTTAAATAAACAAGACATTTAGAAAGAAACAAACCGGCAGCGTTTCACTTAATGCGGAGCCAGAAACAGACCGAGATTCACAGCCCTTATTCACTGAACTGCCAAGATGATCTTCCTTGCTCATACATAGGACACATTAGAGCTACCAGGTCCCACAGATGCTACCCCCACCACCACTGCTTCGCAGCCTTTCAGAACTCAGGTCATGTTGCTGACTGCTGAAGCACCACGAGAGCTTTCTGAGCACCCACAAGTTTCCAGAGCTGCAAGGTACAAATCGCCCCCTGCGGGAGCAGGAGCAGCAGAACCCCGACCTACCACAGGGCTTCAGTACCCACCAGGTTCTTCTCAATGTCCTGATCCGTGTTCGCATCCGCGTCGGCCGTTTTGAAGTCAGTCTGCAAAGGGCGACGGCTCCCATCAGACCCCCCCGCAAACACCCCGGCCTCCCCCCAGTCACCTCCAGCGCCGGAGACGTCCCAAAGGAACGGCTCAGCCCCGCGAGGGGTCGCTCCCCGCCAACGCATCGCTTCACTCCTTTACTTAAAAGCCGCCTCGGAAGCCCCTCACCGCCAACCCCCGTTACACCCCCGGCCCCGGAGCTTCTCCCCGCCGCCCCGCGCCCACCTGCACCGCGATGTTCTGCGAGGGTTTCACGCTCGCCTCCTCCGCCTCGTCCTCCTCCGCCGCCCCCTCGCTCTGCCCCGCGGCCTCCGCGCCGCCGCCCGGCCCGCGCTCCCCCTCGCCTCCCGCCGCCTCACCGGGGAGGGCCGCGGACTCCGCCTCTCCACCAGGCGCCGCCTCGCCGGGGCTCTCCGGGGCGGAGAGGCTGTGCGAAACAAACAGGTCACCCGTCGCCGTAGCCGCGACGCGGCCCCTCCGCCCGGCCCCGAGGCCTACCTGGCGGGCGGCGCGGCGGCGGGGCCCTCGGCCTGCGCCCGCTCCAGCGCCATGGCGACCCGACCGGAGGCTGCGGCTGGGCCAGGAGCGGCGCCGCTCAGCCCGCGTACCGCCCGCCCCGCCCCGCCCCTTCCGGCCGCCGCCGGAAGCGCCCGAGGCGACGGCGCCCCCTTGCGGAGCGGAGGTCGCGTCGCGGAGGGGCGGGCGCGGACGTGACGGTGCTGTCAGAAGCCGCGGCATCCGGCGACGGAGCGGCACCGGCGGCCCATGCGGGGTGAGCGGGGCCGGGCTGCGGGATCGCCTTGGGGCCCGGCAGGGCATCCGCGGGGCACGGGGAGCGGCGGGCCGTGGGCAGGGTGGGCCTCCGCCCGGCCGCGCCGTATGGAGAAGGCGGGCGGAGCGGCCGGAGCGCGGGGCGCGGGGCTGGACTTTAACCTGGTGCGGCCCGGCAGCGCTGGGTGCGCTGGGTGGTGGCCGGCAGCGAAGCCTACGGGTGAAGCCGGTGTCCGACCGGTGAGGTGGGTTTTCCCTGCTGCTTTCCTACAGCAGAGGGCAGAGATGGGCCGGGCGCTGCCCTGCTCGGGGCCTGGCCGTGCGGGATGTGAATCCCAGAATGGCCAGGGTTGGAAGGGACCCCAGAGAGGTCCAGAGAGGCTGTGGATGCCCCGCCCCTGGAGGTGTTCAAGGCCAGGCTGGATGGGGCCCTGGGCAGCTTGGTTTGGTATTAAACGTGGAGATTGGTGGCCGTGCACGTGGCAGGGGGTTGGAGCTTCGTGATCCTTGAGGTCCCTTCCAACCCGGGCCATTCTGTGATTCTGTGATTCTGTGGCAGTGCCAGGGACCGGCAGCAAACACAGCTGGGACTGTGGCACCTGTGCTGGAAACAGGTCTCACAGTTCCTCTTTTTAGTCGCTGTTCCTTTTTGTCATCAATATTTGCCTTTTTCGGCTCTTTTCCAGCCTGCCTGTCTGATGCCGCATCGGGAGCGGAGGTCGCCGCGATGGAGCACAGGAGTGCAGGCTGTGCGCTGCATCCACACGTGCCTTTGGCTGGGCGCTGCTTGGATCCCCTTCGTGCTGCCCCACGGACTGAGCCGCAGCACGGAGCTCGATGATGGCCACAGTGTGGCCCGTGGTCACGGGGAGCTGGCGTGGGCCGTCAGCTTGGATGTGCCGGAGGAGGAACTGGAGCAGCGGGCGGAGCTGCTGGCCCAGACCGCGGGGCTGGTGAACATGGGCCGCATCGGGGAGCTCAAGGGCCATTACCTCTTCTCCTACCGGCCCGACAGCCACCCGGCACCCGAACCCGAAGCAATAAGGAGATCAGTGGACACTTTGTTTGCACAGCATGACAGCGTGCGGTGGCATTCGGAACAGAAGCTTCTGAAGCGCTCCAAACGCAGCCTGCACTTTAATGATCCCAAATACCCCCAGCAGTGGCATCTGGTGAGTGGTTTTTCTGCCTCTGCCCTGATGGCAACGTGGGGCCCTTTGTGTGGTTACGAGTGAGAAGTCATGTGGGCAAAGCAGCAGCTGTCTGTGCATCCGGTGCTGCCTGTGCAGTGCTGGTGCTCTGCTCTGTGGCTGAGCGGCTGTTGCACTCTGGCTGTGTAAAACCAATCCTTAGTGACTGTCCTTGACACCTTCCTGCACTCGCCCTGGCCCTGCGCTTTGTGATTGTGCAAAAGGTTCCCGCTCTCAGGGCTGATGCGCTGCTGCTCTTCCTCATGCACTGCTCTCACTGTCCTTTCTGCTGCTCAGAACAACCGCAAGAGCCCCGGGAAGGACATCAACGTCACCGGCGTGTGGGAGCGGAACGTGACGGGGCGCGGTGTGACGGTGGTGGTGGTGGACGATGGCGTGGAGCACACCATCAAGGACATACAGCCAAATTACGTGAGTGCCGGCGCTGTGGGTGTGAGGGACAGTGGGCAGGTGGCTGAGCGTGGGGACGCCCTGGTGGTGTCTGCTCATGTGTGAAAGCAGATGCCCGAGGAATCCCAGGCATTTGTAAGGAGTGGAAGGAGCGGTCCTTGAGAGCAGACCTGCAGACCTGGCGGTCCTGATGGATGAAAAATTGAACACGAGCCAGCAGTGTGCTCTTGCAGCTCAGAAAGCAAATGGTGTCCTGGGCTCCATCGGAAGAGTGGTGGCCAGCAGGGCCAGGGAGGTGATTGCCCTTCTCTACTCTGCCCTTGTGAGGCCCCATCCAGGTCTGGAGCTCCCAGTACAAGAAAGGCAGAGAGCTGTGGGAGAGGGTCCAGACCAGAGCCACAGATTTGATCAGGGGGCTGGAGCATTTCCCCACAACAACAGGCTGAGGGAGCTGGGCTTGTTCAGCCGGGAGAAAAGAAGGCTGCGGGGTGACCTCAGTGCAGCCTTTCAGTACCTAAAGGGAGCCTACAAACAGGAGGGGAATCAACTCTTTGAAAGGGTGGATAACTGCAGGACAAGGGGAAATGGTTTTAAATTGAGGGAAGATTGAGGTTGGATGTCAGGGGGAAGTTCTTAACTATGAGAGTGGTGAGGTGCTGGAACAGCTGCCCAGAGAGGCTGTGATGCCCCATCCATCCCTGGAGGTGCTCAAGGCCAGGTTGGATGGGGCCCTGGGCAGCCTGGGCTGCTATGAAATGTGGAGGTTGGTGGCCCTGCCTGTGGCAGGGGGTTGGAGCTTTGTGATCCTTGAGATCCCTTCCAACCCTGGCCGTTCTGCGATTCTGTGATTCTGAATTGTGACCGTGGATCTGTTTTCAGAGCCCAGAAGGCAGCTATGACTTGAACTCCAATGACCCCGACCCCATGCCTCACCCTGACGAAGAGAACGGCAACCACCACGGCACTCGCTGCGCAGGGGAGATCGCTGCTGTGCCCAACAACAGCTTCTGCACGGTGGGGGTTGCCTATGGGAGCCGCATTGCAGGTAGGTGCAAGCTGTGGCAAAGCTGTGTGCTGAGTGTTCTGCTCTCCCCACGTGCTGCTGGGGCACGGCCCCCCCGAGAGGTGGCTCAGCCCAGGTGGCTGTGAATCAGGCAGGGCTTGTTGAGACTGATTCCTTCCTCAGAGGTAAGGGCTCAGCTCTTCCTCAGCTCTTCCTCAGCTCCTCTCCAGAGAGGCCTGACAGCGCACTAGTTCTGTGCTGGGAGTTTCCACAATATCCACCACACAGCTAAGCAAATGTGTGCCACGCTGCACAGAGATGTCCAGTCCAGTGCAGAGCTACAGGCTGCATCTGAAGGCGTTGGAAAGCAAATGTCCCCGAATACACCGCATTCCCCTTGGGTGCAAAGTGCTGCGCATCTGCCTTGTGCAAAGCTGGAAATGTGCTTTGGTTGTCTCTGGAGCTCTCACTTTCCTTTGCAGAGGGAAGTGAGATCTCTATGCCTGACATCCTTGGCAGCGCTGCTGTGTGGTTCTCTCCACACCCAGCAGATGGTGCCACATTCCCTGTGACAAGCACCAGCCTCCTGTGACAGCCCTGCTGGGGAACAGGGTGGGCCCAAGGGTGCCAGCAGGGTCCAGGAGGCACAGAGCATCCCAGGCCACTGCAGGTAGTTCCATGCCCCTGCTGTGCTCGTGGCTCCCCATTGGATGCTTCCAGAGCAGCCTGTGGGTCATAGCACAGCCCCAGTCTCCAACCTGCCAAAGGGACTGCAAACAGAAACTGGTGGTGGAACTCTGGTAGGAGGAGAGGTCAGCTCAGTAGTTTAACTGTAGCAATGTGAATGCAGCAGTTGGAAGGGGTTAGCTCAAGCTCACTGCAGCAGAACCCAGCATTTCTTTGACCTTTGGCTCTCCAAATATGTGCCTGACTTTGCAGGGTGAGCGCAGGAGGAAAGCCTTGAGCTCTGGGATGGCACAGGAAGACATGGCACAGGGAGACATGGCACGGCAGCATGGAAGTGCTGGAGCCAGCTCATCCCTAGCTGGGCTGCTCAGCTTCTCCACAGAGCAAGGCTCAGATGTGACAGTAAAAAGCCACATGCACTGTGCCGGGCAGGAGCTGAGATGGGTGGGCAGTTGTACTGTTTATAAATAGTCTTAATTGAGGTGTGTGCCTGGTTTCCATTTGTAACATTCTTTGCCAGCTGAAACTATGATGTAAAACTGTAGTTATTAAGGGTTAGGGTCAAGGAAAACTCAGCTTTGAGCTTTTGTTTATACTGCTGAAGAGGTCCTGAGCACAGTAATTGAGGTGTCTTACGTCTCTTGTACCCTTTCCTCAGTCATCAAGCATGCCACCCATCCCAAAGCAATGCCTGGCCATTTGGTGGCCTGAAAGGGGAAGCAATTGCTCCAGGCAGGGACTAACCCTGAAAAGAAGCAGTAACATGGAGCAGTGCTCTGGGCAAGGATGTTCTGGAGCACTGAGGAGTGAGTCTAACGGGTGTTCAGTTGTCCTTTCCCTATCCAACTCGAATCTGGCCGTGGGACTGGAGTATTTGCTTAGCAGAAAAGCCGTGTCTGGCACAGGATGTGGAACTGAGCGTGAGGATGTGTCTGCAGTTCCAGATCCTGACTTCAGTGTGCCCCTGCAGACTGATCCTGGTTATAGTTTCAGGAGATCTGGTTCAGTCAGGCTGGGAGTGGAAGCATCCCTCCTGTGAACCCGCTGAGGAATTTGTTCGTGCTGTTTACACAGCTTGCTTTGATCCCCTTCTGTCACGTTCATTGTCTTCTGTCTGCAGGCATCCGAGTGCTGGATGGGCCCCTCACTGACAGCATGGAGGCCATCGCCTTCAACAAGCATTATCAGATCAATGACATCTACAGCTGCAGGTGAGCCTGCAGCACCTCCAGTTGGGAGGCTTTCTTTGCTTTACTCCAACACCGTGTAGCTCCTTCTGATGGCAAACCATAACGAGAGGAAATGTTGCTGTCTGTGACTCCTCTTACATCACAGTGTCTCTCTTTGCAGCTGGGGTCCAGATGATGATGGGAAAACTGTGGATGGCCCCCATCAGCTGGGAAAGGTACAAAGCAGTTCCAGCAGACGGGTCGCCCCTGGCCTGGCCCTGCAGTGCTGGTGGTTTTTTTCCTGCCTGAGCAGGCAGGGC